GAGTTGGCGAAAAAAATTATAATATCGCTGACAGCTTGACGCAGTGTTAAATCGAGGATTGGGAGTCCTTCTTTTTGAAATTTAGCCAATTTGTGATGTAGAAGTTTAAAACGTGGTGTTGTATTACAAAGACCTGCATTCCATCTTTTCATCCTCCCTGCACTGCAATGAAGTTTTTTTTTTTTGTTTGTTTTCTTCAGTTTTTTACTTGTTCTTCTTTTTTTCAATCAACCCGTTTAGTACACATATTCTTCCTGGTACAGGAGAGCTGATGTAACGTTTGTTCTATATCTACCTTTTTCCTGAGTTTATTGCCCCTAAGGTATAGCTATATATAGGCTCAGGAACAACTATGTCATTGTTTAAATATCTTCAAGACGCCTATAGTCCATGATTGCGTAATGACGTTAACGAAAAGCTTTTGAGCAAAGAAGGCGCGATATTCGTTCCTTCAAATGCATGCATTTTGCTAGTGAAACATTAGATTGCGTCAATTTTTCACATCCAGGCGCCCACTGGAAAATTTCGATGAGATCATCTTGACGGATGATTCTTGATTCCAGGTCCTAAAACGGTACATTAACAGCAAGCAATATATCCCTATTGCGCGGCAATAACTTCGATTATTGTTTTAATCTTAGACCACCTATCGGGAAATTGAAACGAAAACTGATGAAACCTTTCTTTCCATCTAAAGTTAATCTATTCCGATAGAAAGCACGCATACATTTGCAAATCAATATTCCTCAGTCAACTGAAAAGTTTGCGAGCAATTTTTAAAACGTGGCATCATGCTACGACTATCTATGAAATAATACTAGAAACTGTTTTTTTTTAAATTGATGATTGGATTTAATTGTAAACAACAAGTTCTTAAGTAGCTGTGGTGCATTTTGAACAAAAGAAAATGAGCTGGGAAAGAGACTGACAGCCTTGCATTCGTGACTTTTGAATGATCTTATTTCACGTAAATTAGTCATATGTTAAGTATATCGCACGAGAGTGTTTTCCAATGAGTCGGAAAGAACTTAATGCTAGCCTGAAATTCCGATTTAAACTTTGGACCATTTTTTGCGTAATTTCATATTTGAAATACATAGCGTTTTCTTGGCAGACACCTTGATGCAGTGATGCACGAGAAGCCCAATTAGCCCTGTGCTAATAAGGCGATACTACTGTAAAACATACAATAATAT